ATCCTGGGACTCCAGGATCATGACCTGAGCCGAAGGCAGTCGCTTAACCAACTGAGCCACCCAGGTGCCCTCTTTGCACTATTTAAACTTATGATTAAAAATGTTAGCTGTTGACTTAAAAATGTGTAAGGCATACATAATTTAAACAAATTCTTTACGGGAATATTAGAGCAGGGAAGTTCAAAAGTCAGGAGCCCAGAGATCTCAGTGGCCTAAGGTCAATCAAGTGGCTTACCGGGATGGGGGCTGAAGAGGGGTTAAAAGAAATTGAGTGTTCACCACTTAGGACCCAATTTGTTTATGTGGCAATCCCATCCAAATCTGTATGTGATCAGTTTGAAAACCAAACCAAACCAAACCTAATTTTAGAGTTTAGAAATAATCCTAGAACATATAAGAATTGTAGGGGTAGGCCTAGTAGAATTTAATAGGCCCCGAAGTGGACTAAGTTCACGAAACTTATTCCCTTAATATGTCCATCTATGCCAGGTGCCACGGGGGAATATAGAAAATAAAAAAACATACAGTTCCCGCTCTCAGGAAGCTTAACATTCAGCTGGGGAAGAAAGGATTTGCATGAAAAGTTAAATTACAGTGTCACACACAGTAAGGATGCATGTGACTAAATAATTATATGAGTAAGCACCAAATAGCCTTGGCAATAAACGCCGTAAGTTCAGAAGGAGTCACGGGGAGCTGCAGTAGTCAGGGGAGGCTTCCAGGAGGAAGGGCCGGAGCCCCGCGGCTGGGGGTCCGGCCGGGAGGGGGCGGACGGGGTGAGGGGGTTGTGGGGCTCCGGGGAAGGCGCAGGCGCGAAGCTGCCCGCCGCCCACTCCGGGCCGGACCTGCCCCTGCGCCCGCGAGCCGGAGGTTAGGGAGGGGGGTCGCCGGCTCCTGCTGCTCGCGCTGTCCGGGAAGGCCTTCCGCTCCGCAGCCGCCCGTCATCCCCTTCAGTGACGCAGCCCCCGCCCCTGCACCCCCTGCCCTGCGCCACCGCGGTGTGCGGGCGCGGCGGTGCCTGGAACAAAACTCGGGCGGGAAATGATTTATTCCGTCTGTTCTCCCCTCCTAGGCCTCGAGCATCTTGCGGGCAGAGGCGGCCCGAACGTTTCTTCTGGGACCTCGTCACCATTTCGGGGCCTTCTCCCTCTCTCCCAGCAGCCCCGCCGGTGCCTCGCGTCTGGGACTCTGGAGTGCTGGAAGCACCTGTAAATGTTTCTCCCTCACATCCTCGCTCCCGCACCGCGCCCGCAGCCCTTCAAGGATGACCCACAAATATGGGGGTAGCAACACTCTAGTCTTCTGAGCCCCAGTTGCCCTCCATGGGACTTTGCTTGGCCTCCTTCCATTGCCCGACTCCCTGCGTCCCCCCCCCCCTTTTTAAAAATATATCCCCTTTCCTTGAATCTTTGTCTCGGGATCTACTTCCGGGCAACCCTGCCTAAGACGCAAAGTAGGGTTTACTACCAACCACCGCAGCTACTTAGGACTGCGCATGTGCTGTAGGGCGCGCTTGTCAAACGCTCTCCAGATTAAGGTCTCGCCTAAGGCGCACACTAACCCTATCCTCCTCGCCGTTTTGGATCCGGGGAGGTAGTGACACGCATACAAGGAGACACAAATGGCAAGGCTGGGATTTCAACTCCCGTCTATCCTATGCCAATGTCTCTGATTTTAACCACTATAGTTTCCCACCCCTTTATTCATCGGTGTAACCCTGACACTGAATACAGTGTCTTAATAGGTTATATTAGGGTTCTCCAGAGACACAGAACCAATAGAACATATATGGAGGTTTATTATAGGAACTGGCCGTTGAGATTGTGGAGGCTGAGAATTCCCAGTCTGCCATCTACAAGCTGGACACCCAGGACAGCCTGTGGAGTAGTTCCAAAGGCCTGAGAACCAGGGGAGCAGATGGTGTAGGTCCCAGTCCTGGTCAAAAGGCCTGAGAACCAGGAGTGCCGATGATGTCCGAGGCCAGGAGAACATGGATGTCCCAGCTCAAACAGAGCAAATTCACCCTCTTCCTGTTTGTTCAGTTCAGCCCTCACAGGTTGGATGATGTCCACCCACAATGGTGACAGCGAGCTTCTTCCCTCAGTTCACCATTCAAATGCTAATCTCTTCCAAGAAACAACCTCACAGGTGCACCCAGAAACAATGCTTTACCAGCTATCTGGGCATCCCTTAGCCCAGTCAAGTTGACACATAAAATTAACCATTGCAGGGGCGCCTGGGTGGCTCAGTTGTTAAGTGTCTGCCTTCATGATCCCGGGGTCCTGGGATCGAGCCCCGCATCGGGCTCCCTGCTCGGTGGGAAGCATGCTTCTCCCTCTCCCACTCCCCCTGCTTGTGTTCCCTCTCTCGCTGTCTCTCTCTGTCAAATAAATAAATAAAATCTTGAAAAAAATTAACCATTGCATACATGTTTTATAAATGGCTTAATTCACTAGTAAATGGCAAGTTTGTGGGGCGCCTGGGTGGCTCAGTCGGTTAAGCGTCTGCCTTCGGCTCAGGTCATGATCCTGGGGTCCTGGGATGCAGCCCTGCATGGGGCTCCCTGCTCAGTGGGGGGAGTCTGCTTCTCCCTCTCCCTAACCCCCCACCCCCGGTTCGTGTGTGCTCGCTCGTTCTTTCTCTTTCTCTCTTTCACTCTCCCTCTCAAATAAAATCTTAAAAAAAAAATAAATGGCAAGTTTGGGCAACAGAGAGTAGACTGCGATGGTTAGAGTGAAGGGCTTATAACCTGGAAAAGTGGGGGATATTGTTGGACAAGTGAGTTTGGGGGAAATTAGGGAAGCCAGGCTTGGGAGCTTATATCAAAAGTCTTTCTCCTCTGATAGAATTGTGCCCAGTGGTGGGGAGGCTCACGCACATACCTGGGTGTGCTGTGGCAGGGAGGTATGGGAGGGAAGGGAAGAAATCTGGACCCCTCAAACTGACCTGTAGCAACCCCCCAAGCCAGTGAGATGAAGTTCATTGGGAAAAGAAAGAGAAAAGAATACCTAAAGGAGAGGAGAAGTGAGGGAAAGGAACTGCGTTCTTGGTGTGGCCCAGGCAAGGATCTAGGGCTCTTTACATCATGCTGTCTTATTTAATTTGCACAACATTATTGTGGTTTTCATGTGTTCCTCCTCTTGTAAAGTATGAGGTTCTTGAGGGCAGAAACTGTGTCTTGACTGTGTTTTATGCCTTACTTCTCCTCCTAGTCCTTGGCCTGAAGGTGTTCAATAAAGCAAATTATTAGCCCCATTTCACAGATGAGGAAGCTACTCTGAGAGAGGTAACTCATCTGTCTTGCCAAAGTCAGGACAGTGCAGGACGGCGTGGCTCTAAACCAGTTCTTCCCAGTTTGACACAACAAGTGGGTGAGTGGGA